CACAAACCCCATAACATAGCTTCCGCTCCCAATCCTCGAAACCCCCAACTTCCCACCGGCTAGCTTCTCCACCCGGTCAATCCCTTGCTGCGTCCCCGTAGAGATCGCCCAACACAGCGGCGTGGCAACGTATTTGCCTGCTATCTTGAAGTCACTGTTTCCATTCGCGATCGCCGAGATCCAACCCTCGGTTAGGCCAATTGCGATAGAGATTTCGCCCGAGGAGAGGGACTTGATCATGTGCCCTGTGCCCGACGGGAAGGGGATTAAGGTGATTGGGAGTGAGCGGGAGGTGAAGAAGCCGTGGGCTTCCGCGAAGTGAAGGGGGGTGGAAAAGTGCTCTGTGGGTTATTTGTTCGTTAGTACGTTATAGTTATTACTCATGCGAAGGGGAGATAAGGATTAACTAACCCGGGACATATCCTACTTTGATGCACATTTTCCTAAAAAATTCTAGTCGTGATTAGTGTTTTGATTAAGATTGAGAGTGCCGGTAAGCCAGTTGGATTATGGCTTGACTGAGTCCCGTTGAAGCACCGGTAGTGGGTTGCCACGGGTATCCTCAGGATTGCAACTCCTCCTCGGGGTTCCTCCCTAGGATTGGAATATCATTCACTGGTAAGAATGATGGGGGCCCCACTGGTAGCTTGGAGGTGCAGCGCATATCTAAAAACTCCGTAATTCCCCTATACAATTTCATAGCTCTATGCGAGTAGGCATCTCTGAGTTTGTTATTGAAAACCTTCAGCCCAAGTCGGATTACGTTGTAGCTTCTAATGACATAGAGCAGCGCTACCACAGCATGTAGAGAGCGCTAACGGCTCGCCTTAGGTTTGGGCCTAATAGAATTAGTATTTTGGACCTGTTCTGGACTTTGGGCTGGACTAGGACTGGATTTTCTTTGTGGGCTAGATCAGGATTTTTGGCTGTGCCCTCGATCGAACCCGTGCTTATGCTAAGTTAACCCTGAAGGAGGACTTTTCATAAATCTATTACCAGAGCATTTTTCCTTCTTCTATGATACTCATTCACGGATTTCATCGAATCCATGAATGATTAACAAAAGCCTACGCCCGAACCCGGGCATGTTTGGTAGGCCCAAGATCCAAAGTCCTGACTTTCAAGTTTCCGGACTTTGTTTTAAGTCCGGGCTCAAAGTCCAAACCCAAGTCTAGCCTAGGTGTCCCAGGTGGGGCCTAAGCAAGGGAAATCCCTAGATCTTGCCGCTCGAGGGGGTTTATGTATTTTCAATAATAATATGAAATAATTTTCCTATCATATGATTCATATCCTATCCAAATTTGTCCCACTACCGTATGCAGGTAGAACTGTGGGGGGGGGTATCGATATTGTTTCCACTCCCGCCCAGTATAACACCCTCTAGGAGCCCCTACGTTGGAGCTCCCTGCTTCTGAAGTTGAGGGTAAACGAAGCTTCTAGCCTGCAAGTCATCACATCTCAGTCCCGACAGCCAACAGTCCAGGCCAGAAGGGGAAAAAAAGGTTGGTTTTGCACAGCTTACTACAAGAAAGTAAGTCGGTCTGGTGCTGATTGACTATTGCCAATTGCACCGCTCATTGGGATAAAAATCGCAATTTATATCCCTTACTATGGTACATCCCTCTGGAGAAGAAAAGAAGGGAAAGGGGGGAGCAAAAACAGAGCCAACAGCTATCTCCGGATCGCTCCCATCTCTGGCGTGTATTTACGGCGTGTATTTACGGTAGCTTTCTATATTGTATACCATACTAACATGAATTCCATGGAGGGATTAGGCAGAAAATTACTCCACAGTGCCATTTAATGGAATCCCCCTGACAAGGACTGGAAACTATGCAGGTTATCCCTACTCTGCGTCATTTTTTACCGCTTTATCCCGAGAATCATATTTGTGTTTGTGTTGGTGATGGCTATTGCTACTGCTAGGTTTCATTCATCTCTGATAGAGAAACCCCTAAATACTCTCTCACGGAGTTCAAGCTCTATATCTCCGGTTGGATCGTATACAGGTTACAGGTATTAGCTCAAACGTTCAGCAGGATTACAATAAAACATTAGTATTATTCATTACTTTTATGATACATTCAAATAAGCTTACTCTCCTTCTCCCGCATTGTGGTAGTCAATTCATCCAAAAACATGGTCAAATCGATAAAATCAGCCTATTTAATCAGGCCACCTCCTTCCTTCCCTATTCGCAAAGCAACACTGGACCTGGCCACTAGTAGTCTCTGAAGCTAAGCCATCTGCCACGCGAAAAGCACCAGCCCGAAAGTTTAGAAAAAGCCCCCTAGCAGATAATGAAATGCTGGGAAATATTTACCTAGACAGCACCTATCGAGTGATAGGTCATGATGCAAAATATTCCGCCAAATCTATATACGGAAAAGAGAGTAACTCGCACAAGACGCTATAGCACCAAACACAAGCCTAAGCTACTAGTTAGCAGAAGCATAAAATCAACAACCAATAATTCATACCATGGGACCAGAGCATGAGCGCCTGAGCTACCTAACTTACACCCCGAATTAGAGCAGAAAACAGAACCCAATCACTCTAGAACCATTTCCTTTATCGGTTAATGCTGGTAGCTTCTATGGCACTGTGAACCATCATCTGAGGCTGCAGCACTTTTAAGAGGAAGTTTGTAGCGCCGGCGTGCTAGAGTATAAGTTTAAAGAATCCGACGTAAAGACCAAAATGGTGTTTGTAAAAGTGAAACTGAATACCATGGTAGTGACACCAACTGCGTTTCTCTGTTACTTGTTGTGGATGTTTTCGCTGGGCATTTTGTATAGGACATCCTCCCCCTCGCAAGGGGAGGTGTTGTGAGAGAAGAGTAACATGGGTTGGAATTGTCCATAGAGAGAAAACTTTGTCTTTTGATCAGTCCACGTTACACTACTCATGTCTCCGCGCCGAGAATAGGCACCTGTTTTGGAATAGCCACCACCAACACATAAAAAATAGTGTTCGAGCTGTTTAAAAGAGTCTGACGAGAAGTGCCAGTAGCCGGTGAAAGTCATGTGAAAATGACCTCATGGTTCACCACAGTATTGGACATCTTGTGGACTCCCGTGGGCTGGTTTCGATTTTTGTTAGGAGGTAAGTATTCAGCATTGAGAGAATATTAGAACTCAAGAGTTTAAATTCATGGTGAAGCTCTGTGATTAGAAGATATTAATCTCATTCATTGACTCCTGCAATAAGTTTGGGGTTTGCTCATATAGCGCTTCTCCAGAAAAGCGGCCTCAACACTATCCTCCATATGGGTCTGCAGTGGCTATTCTAAAAGGAGTGCCTATTCTTGGAGCGGAGACCGTGCTTCTCAAGAGGAGAAGTAGGACATGAAGTGACGAGAACGCCGGCATGCTGCGCAAAGGGAAGGTACGGAAAGCGCTAGCCTATTGTAGGTGTCAGTCGATTATATCGATCCTCTAATTCTTACGAACCTAGGCAGAAAGAATTTCAACAAGAAAATGGAATTTCTGCGGTGAGAAAACGTCTGCTAACCCAAATCGAAGGCCTACTGGTAGGTCGAAACTGACGCTATCATATGTGTACTAGGGGTTGGAAAAAAGTCTGTCGAACATCCACGGTTACTCCTACAACCCCAGCGATTGAAATCTCACCTCCTTGTGACGTGTCATATCTTTCCAGTGGGCCAATCTGGGTCCTTGATTCTCATCTCACGATGGCTTCAAGTCTTCTTTTCCATTACGATAGTTTAGAAATCTTTGGTGTTCAAGGTATCTTGTATCCCTTTTCATTAATTTTAATCGTCTTCCATCTAGGGGTATTCGTTTACGAACGTTTCGCGACTTTATTGTCACCTTCGGATTCGGTTTCGGGGCCTATTTTACTACGGTAATCCTGGCAGGCGTGTAGGACACGGGTGAGGGGGTGGCTGAAGCTGTGAGGCTGAGGTCGAGGCGTCGTAGGTGTGGCGCAAGGTATGTGGCGGTGGAGAAATGTGGCTTGGTTTTGGGAAGTGGCGTGTGGGTGTGGCTTGGCTAGGTTACACCCGAGGGGAGCGTGCCCGTACGCCGATAGTTTGGTTGATGGAGTTTGTTTTGGTTTAGGGAGCCCGAGTTATGTGGGCAGGGGTGGAAATAGGTGCCGGGAATGAGGGGTATCACCCATTGCAAGTGGTATGATACAACTCATGGCTTCGGTGGCCCGAGGAAAGGGGAGAGAGGGTATGGAGGGAGATGGAGGATGAGGGTTGACGGAGAAAGAGATGCCGCCAAGGATCTCCATTCAATGGGAAAATGAAACACCTATCGAAGGAACGCCCGAAGGTAACCAGGGTTAATTACTATCGTACCTGGGAAGGACGCTCGGCTAAGACTTAAAAAATTGGGCTGGGATTACTGTCCGTATTGCAAACCCGGGGGAGCTGGAGGGAGAGTTTAAAGGTTTCTTCAACTTTGAATTTTAGTATTTTGGGTTTTTGAGGGCTGGCCCAGGTGATACTTTCCGGAGATATGTTGGTTAGGGAAGTATGAGATTTGTTACTAACTAGGTTCCGGCTATTGGTTGGTGATAGATGTACCGGCTGAGGATTATCCTGGAGGAATTGGTTTGGGTGTTAGTTTCGTCCGAGGGGTTTGGGTGAGGCGGGTAAAGTGGCAAGAGGGCAGACAGCTAAGCTGCTACAGAAAGCCCGTAGAGTATTTGTTTTTAGTGTAGAAGTAGCTAGCTAAAATGCAATGCCGAAAAGTTTAAAAAAAAAAAAAAAAAAAAAAAAAAAAAGAAAGTCTGTCGAACTCTGGTTTGGTTGGCCGAAATTACGTGTGTGTAACGCAGATTATGCAGCTCAACAGCCCATAGACGCTAATTTTTGGTGATGGAAAAAAGTCTGTCGAACTCTTGGCGCTGTGGCTGGAGCACACAGCGTTCTCTGAGTGGTTGAAAAGGCCCTGGGGCCAATCAGAGGGAACTCGACAGACTTACCCACAACCCCCGGTACTGATAGGTAAAAAGGTTGTCAAAAGAAATGATTTGGGCGCGATTCGAACGCGCGCTCTTTCGAACTACGGATTTTGATCAAACTGACCTAAACGTAGCGCCTTAGACCACTCGGCCACCAAACCATACATTGATATTTGTGTTTTGCAATATATTCGCATTAACTGTGCTCTTTACAGTGAATATCTGTTGGCATGGCAATGAAATCTCTTCCTCACTATCCAAATATCATAAAGCTAATTACGATCGAGCCTTTCCCCTCTCTCATCTCTATAGGTGTCATAAGGGCTCCGTTCTGTAATTCGATGCAGAGGGCTGGTGTGCGCCCACAACTGCTGAGCCACAGGGTTAGGGGTAATAGCAGTTTCTTGGCACGTTCAGTATTATACCCTAAGGCGGCGCACTACTCATACGGGCCACACAGTCCTCACATTCTCTTTCTCCTTTCCCGAGCGATAACCTCACCTCTTCCCTGAACTCACAAGACCATTCATACAGGCAATCCTTTACTATGCGGTTGCCCACGATACTCGGAGCCGCTGCCCTGGCATCCCTTTCCCTCTTAACTTCACCCACTGCTGCCACGGCCCTTACATATAAGCTTGCTCCAAACGAGAAACAATGCTTCTACTCAACTGCTGACATGAAAGGGTCTAAAGTGGCCTTTTACTTTGCTGTATGTTTTTTCTCCCATGGCCCTCAAATATTTTTCTCCTCGGTTTTAAACGTTTGGAATAGGTTCAATCGGGTGGTTCCTTTGATGTCGATTATAAAGTGACGGGTCCGAACGGCAAGGTTATTCTTGATGGGTCCAAGGAGAGACAGGGCGATTTCGTCTTTACCGCGAATGAAGCTGGGGAATATAGCTTCTGCTTTTCCAATGATATGTCTACGTTTGCTGAGAAGACGGTAGATTTTGAGATCGCTGTATGGGCACTGTCCTCCAATTTGTATGAGTTCTACTTAACAGGTATACAGGTCGAAAACGAAGCTCGAGCCGAGCTCCCGTCAAAACAAGGTACCTCCCCCGAACATCTCTCATCCCTCGAGGAGTCGCTTTTCAAGCTCTCCGGTCAGCTCTCCACCATTTCCCGTAACCAAAAGTACTTCCGCACTCGTGAGAACCGCAATTTCAGCACCGTCCGCTCAACCGAGTCCCGAATCTTCAACTTCTCGGTTATCGAGTCCCTTATGATGGTCACGATGTCATGTCTCCAAGTCTTCATTGTTAGATTCTTTTTCCAAGGTGCACGTAAAGGTGAGATAAACCCCCTCCTAACTTCTTCCCCCCTACAAACCCCCTTATCAACCCATGAATCCTCGTGTTTGGTTTTGCTTGCCCCTTTCGCCACTCTCATTCCGCTAAAGCATATAGCAGGTTATGTGTAAACGGGACGTGCATCTTTTTCTTTTTTCTATGGATGATATTGTTTGTACTACAGCAGATATTTTTTCAGTCAATGGAGTTGTGATATCAAAAGTTTGCGTGGGCCATTCCGTTATGACAGATTTTGCTGTATTAGGAAATATATCCTAGTGGACTGTGAAGTGCGTGGTTGACGAGTAGCACGGTTTTTTCCTTTCTCTAGCACGGTCACAACACTGGGTATTATGCATTTTTAACAGGGAGTTTAAAAGTAATTGACATTTGAGGGAATATATCGGACGTCTACTATCTGATAGGGGAGAAAAAACGTTGGTCACGACGGAGGAGAAGAGTAATGGCACCATCCGCGAATATCTTTGTGGGGGACTATCTATGCATACAGAAAGAAATCCTATAACGAAAAGTAGGGCCATTGCAGAGATGCCGAACATCAAAGAATCGTGAAGTAAATGAGATACCTGCCTCTCATAGTACAAGGACGGAACTCAATTGGCCCAACCTCCTCCCATCCACTCTCCCCACCCTCCCAGCGCTGGAAACGTTGCAATGTTCGAGATATATAGTAACCACCCGCATGACAAACCGCCGAACGATGAACGATGAAACGAACGATGAAACGAACGAACGAGCGACGAAAAAGTCGCAACAAGACAAGTCTATGCAACACGTTAAAAACAAGCATTATATCGAACGCACAAAACGGTAACATAAAACCGAAAGAAACAAAACAAAAATACAAGGAAACGAATGGAGACGAACAAATGAAGAAGAATAATAATAATAAAAAGAAGAATTTACATTTCTTCACCCTCCCCTTTTGGCAAACCAACTCGGTCATAACCGTGTTCACAGTCAACCCGGAACTCCATCCGTGAATAATACGCCTGCAAGAAATAATGGTCAACAAAACCAAACGAAGTAGTATAATACATGACTCCACCAGTAGTTTCTTTTTTAGTAATACCGTTTTTACTACTAATTGTATGATACTTTGTTGGTGGTAAGTAGGTGGGCACATACACCCTTACCCTCCTTTTAATAGAGTTATATAAATATAAATGTGTGTATATATTATAATAATATTATGCGTGTATGTGCATGTGTGTGTGTGTGTGTGTGTGCCCGCCTACCTACCTACCTACAAGACTACTATACCCCATCTAGGTTCAATTGCTCACATTTGTTCCCCAACTTGGACACCTGCAAGAATACGTCTGTGCCGTAGCCGTCGAGACTATGCAATTCTAGATTGCCGGCCCAGTACTCGGCGTACACCCTGCTCATCGGCAGGCCCATTCCTAATCTTAGGTTCGGTGACCGGGACGTCAGCCTGGAGAGGGAAGTGTCCATACTCTCCCTGCGGGAATGGGTGTGCGCCGTTTTCTGCAGTTCCTGCAGCGTAGCGGCCATCTTCGGTACCTGGGAGAAGTTCTGGAGGTAACTAGTTGCGCGGGGCCCCTTGGCGAAGGACCATAGATGGGCGAGTTCAGCTATGGGTATGCCGCCACCTTGGTCGGAGACGCGGAAGATTATGTGTTCCTTTGTATGGCATATTAGGACCCTGATAGGGGGGAGGGAAGTGGTCGACGGGGTGTGGTGGTCTATGGTGGCTTGGATTGAGTTGCGCAGGAGCTCGCCGATTATGTATTCCAGGTGGGAGGGAATGTATGGGAATGTCGTGTCTAGGCGGCCCTCGATTTGGATCTCGGGGATTGGGGAGGTGGAGCCGTTTGCTTCCCGGGCGAGTTCTAGTGTGTGCTTGCCAACTTGCTCGACCACTTCGCGGGCATTGCAGCGGAGGAAGACCTCACCGACAAAGTCGTGGGGCTGGTGGCTCACAGAATCGGGGAAGTGGAAAGGGGAGTTGAAAGTATCAGTTAATGCTAGATGTTGTTCGGCTATGACTCTTCTTGAAATCCTCTAATGTAGGGATTTAGTCATCAAATGATCCAAAATATATAGAAGGGAAAAGACAGGTTTTTCACATACACTCCTAAGAATAACATTCATAAACCTGTCCAACTCATGCGACGGCACCAAATCATTACACTCCAGCACGCCCATAGCAAGACTCGGTATGACGGTAAGATGCTCCTGCAGCGCCGTCTTGACAATCTCACAGAACTTCTCGTTATCCTCGAGAGTCTTGATCTCAGGGATCCTACGGAACGACTCGAAAGCTTTATAGTACAGCTCGTACACCTCCGATAAATGCCTATTCGTGACGACCACGTACGGCAGCTTCTGCATATCACGGATGCGGTGGGCTATGCGCAAGGGGAGTTCAGTGCGCACATAGTTTGCCGAGCTTATAATCTTCTTCTCGTCCAGGTTGCGCCCGCCGAAGAAGACTAGTTGGCGGAGGGAGATGGGATGGGCTGGCTGAGCCACGTAGGAGTCCAGGACTCCCGAGGCACGCCAGCGTGGATTATGTTGAATTGAGGAGAGATGTCGAGCATTGACCTTGGGCGTTATGGTGGGGGTGGTGGTGGGGATGACTCGGGAACGGAGTATTTTTGCATGTGAACCGACAAGGGCAGCTTGAGTCAAGGACGATTCTAGCGAGCTGGCGCAATGTCGCATTCGCGACGAGACCTGAAGGATCGTAGACATTCTTGTGTAAATGCCATTGATCAATGGACAGGATAGGGGGGAAGTGGTAGGTAGGAGGGAGGAAGAAGGTCAATTCTACGAGGGGTGTGGAAGGAGACGAAGTGTGAGACTGTGGGGTTTGTGGTCGTGTGTGCTGCTGAGTCACAGGAGTTGGGTAAATCTCAATACCACCATCGATGGTATTATATTGTAATACCGTTACAATAAGTGTGGGTTGAGAGTTTCAGAGCTTTCGAGGATGCTTCATACTTACCCTAGGGTTACCAGTGGGAAGGGCGTGAGATATCATTGGTGCAGACTGCCGGCTTGTCGAATGGTTCCCCGCAGGATCTTTTTTGATTTTACGTGGGCGCAGGGGAAGTGGGGGGCGCAAAAGAGATACTTGTACCAGGCCCCACGCTGATGCATCGTATCTCGAACCCAACTTATTTGACACGACTAGGCTCTAGATCTTCGTCCCTGTTAGATCCATCTAATTATAAGTTGGAAGTTTGTGGGGATGAGGCTCTACTCGAGTACCATACTGTGCGAGGCCCTATGGCTCGCAGGTGCTCTTTTCGCGAGAAATAGCATGCCAGAAACACTACTCAATTGAGACTCAGATGCAAGGCTCGGTAGAAAGGATTTTAAGCACCAAAGAGGGGTGAAAATTCATTCGAGTTCATCCGTTACCACCTCTATGGGATTTTCTGTAAAGAGATGGGTGCGAAAGGAGATGAAGGCTTATTGTCGGTTGCTAATATTGATGTTCTTCCTTTGTGTCTTTTTCTTCCTCTTAAATACTCCTTTTTTTCCTTACAAAACTACCAAACTCACGATACTCAACGGCACGCAATCTTCACGAGGCTCCACGCAATCGATCGCGAATCCATCTGCGTGTCCCACAATACTATGGCTGTGGATCCGGTGCTTGACTATTGTGTTCCAGACTTGGCAGTCCAGGTATGGATGCACTGCCAAAATGCATTCTTAAGGGATTGCCAACAAATCCCCAAGAAGATGGAGAATCCGAAAAACCCATCCAATCCTATATACCAAAGCGGGTTGAAATAGTCCTTTTTTCGGCTCTGAAGCGTCAATTACTTGACCGAGAGTGTTGAAATATGCACCAATATGCGTAGCGAA